CTCGCTCACAATTCTCTAAAGTATCGTTCGTATATAACCGATTAAAAGTTGTTTCAAACGAACAAGACCATCCTTACATTATTTACAATATTCAGACTATTATCCTCATCTTCATTATCACATTCACAACGTTCCGGCCTTCTTCAGGTGATTGGAATTTCGAACCGAACCCTTTATTTCGTCCACTAGGGTAGACTGTCCTATTTCCACATGGCTCAGTCGATAAAGACGTTGGTTAGATCCAGTGACTAAACTTGTGGGTTCAAGAGAGTTGAGTTAAAGGGAAATAACTAAGATATCCAGAAGAGGCATGGCACATAGAATTTGAACAATCTATCCCGGTGCACGAAATAATGAATTCAGTTCGAAATACCAATCACCTGAAGAAGGCCGGAGTGTACAACGGCCGAAACGTTGTGAATATGGCAATGAAGATGAGGATAACAGTCCAAATAATGTCAATAATGTAAATAATCATAATATCTCATCTCAGAGATATAGACAGATAGAGAGATGGATATGAAAATAAATAGAGAGAGAAATAGACTGATCGATATGAATAGAATACTTAAAATAGAATAAAGGGTTCGATTCGAAATTCCAATCACCTGAAGAAGGCCAAAATGTTGTGAATATGGCAATAAAGATGAGGATAACAGTCCGAATAATGTAAATAATGTAAGTAATCATAATACGTCATTTCAGAGATATAGACAGATATTGAAGACAGTCCTTCATCAGGCATCACAGACTGGCGCTACGGAATAACAAAGAGCTTAACCAGATATCAAAATATCATATCTCTTGACCTCACTCAACAGCTACAAAAAAAATGGACAGCACATGGGTCAACTTGAATAGAAAATAATGATCAAGTTGTTTACTTTCGATACTACGAAAAACAAAATTTTGGGAATGTAGCAGAAAGAGCAACAATAGTGGATTTGAGAATTTTAATTTCCTGAGGAACTGTTTTAAGTAAGAGATTTGCTAATCGTTCGGCGTAATCTGCCAAACGGCGTAATCTGCCAAAGTTCTGCTCCATTTAAACGGCGTAAAATAAAATGCCCTGTTTCATTTCATCCATGCCACGCGGCAGACTAAGTTCCAGACAGCCAGTCATCGATATGGATGAATTCTTATCACGAGAAGATATACTGCAAGAAGATTGGTACCAATCGGAGGTCAGCGTTGGTTAGCACAACGAGGGTTCATTCGAAGCAACTAACATTGCAACCAATAGTGCAACCGGACTAAATTCCTATCAAAGATACAACAGATCTTTATCGCTGGTATTGCAAATCATGTTAATGACTATCAAAGACGCAACAGATGGTTATCGTTGGTATTGTAACTATGTAAATGTCTATCAAAAAAGCAACAGATGCTTATCGCTAATATAGCAAATTATATAAATGCCTATCAAAGACGCAAAAGATGGTTATCGCTGGTATTCGAAAGCCATGTAAATTCCTGTCACAGACACTATAGATGGTTATCGCTGGTATTGCAAGTCATGTTAATGACTATCAAAGACGCAAAGGATCGTTATCGCAGGTACTGAAAGCCATGTAAATTCTTATCACAGACACTATAGATGGTTATCGCTGGTATTGAAAGCCATGTAAATTCCCATCACAAACACTATAAATGGTTATCGAAGGTACTGAAAGCCATGTAAATTTGTATCACAGATACAACAGATGGTTATCGCTGATATTGCAAACCATGTAAATTCCTATCAAAGACACAACAGATGGTTATCGCTGGTATTGTAAATCAAGATAATCCCTATCAAAGACGCAGCCGTTGGTTATCGCTGGTATTACAAACCATGTAAATGCCTATCAAAGACACAATAGATGGTTATCGCTGGTATTGTAAATCAAGATAATTACTATCAAAGACGCAGCCGTTGGTTATCGCTGATATTACAAACCATGTAAATGCCTATCAAAGACGCAATACATTGTTATCACTGGTATTGCAAATCATGTTAATGACGTTCAAAGACGCAACCGACGGTTATCGCTGGTATTGCAAACCATTTAAATGCTTTCAAAGGCGCAATGAATGGTTATCGCTGGTATTCCAAATCGTATTGTATTGCCAGAGATCTTTCTTTTATTATTTAACTTCAATAAATGTATACACCGTGACCTTGTTTATATTACGCTGTTTGGAGAATAGCAGGTTAGTTTATATTGCTTAAGTGAAAAATAACCAAAAAATTTAGAAATTTCAACCGATTGTATCACGAAATAAATGCGAAATGATTATTGTGATTTTCTAGCATAGCTCAGATGGAAAACAAAGTCAAAATTACGGAGCACTTAGTGAGGTTCGAAATCACAACTCGGTCGTAACTGATCTAGCGAGACAAGCTTGATAATCCTTACCCCATGCGAACTGCCCAAAATTTATTTGTAATCAGAGCTGTAAGACGAAGCTGAAAGTTGGAGCACTGAGTCAGGATCGAACTCTCTACTCAGCTCAGTCGTAATTGAAATACAGAGACTAGTTTGCTAATCATTCTAGCACGTCGAGGTGCTTCCCAAAGTAAATTCTTACAGTCTTAAATTTAAATGTCCGACATATGTCGCTAGAAGTTCAAACAATGATACAATTAAGATATTGCCTTTGCACACTACTTTATACAAAAGGTTGGGAAGGAAACTTCTCAGTATGGCCTTACGTGAGCTTCAAAAGTCTAATTGCTTGAAACTTTTATTTAGTAAAAGATTTTATAAATTTCAGCTGAGAGTAAAATCTAATTGTTTGGTCCTACTTTGGTACGAAGAGCTGAGAACCCTAGGCCAACGATACCAAGGAGCATATGTAAAAACCAACCTGGATTAATTGCCAGCCGTAACTGTACACTTCACCATATAGCATCAATTCCTCACTGGAAACGGCTAGATCCTATTCACCAACTGGCAATATAGTTGCTCCTATATTATGCACCTACTGATAGGATAGCCTCCTCAGGACTTGCTTTAAGGTTTGAGTCCCTGAATATAAGTCGGATAACGCCAACCCAAATCAAGAGAAATACAATCCAAGAGTGAGAAAAAAATTGCAGGCTTGCCACTTAGAGTGAAGCCATGACATTTAGTCAATGAGTGCCAAATGCTTCATTTTTGGATACAGGGATTCTCATCATTTTCATTGCTCTTGCAATTGTCTTTTCCCTCAAAGTTCTTTTTAGCGTTTCTTTCTCCTTTTCGGGAGGGTGTTTTATTCATGCTCATCATAATTCTTCTTCTTTTTTTCTCTTTCTTCACCTTTTATGCCCTCTGATTCCGTGATTTCCTTCCTTCTCTTTTTCTAATTTGTTTTCCTTGCTTTCCAAATTTATTTTGCTCTCTCCTCTTTCGACCTTTCGTTCTTCTTCTTCTTCTTCTTCTTCTTCTTCTTCTTCTTCTTCTTCTTCTTCTTCTTCTCGTCCTCCTTCTTCCTCGATAAACACCAAGATGAAGACATGTTTTCTTCTATATAAGTAAATGTCATCCGCCATCTTTAAAAGAGCAGTGATCTTAAATCGAGCTCGTCACGCAAATACCAAGTTATGAGCAAAACGACTTCACCAAACAAAAACGTTAGATGTCGATCGTCTTCCGCTTCGGTCTTAGGAAATTTTTGTCTTCATACCGTTTGTAATGGCTGTTTATTTATTACTGACAAAAAAAGGGAGAAGCATTTGATAAATCCGAGTCGACAAGAAGCATGTAGGAACAGGGAATACATTTTTGTGCGCGGCTTGAACATCATTTTATCTTATCTGTTATGTCGTCTGCTTCTTCTGTTTCTGGGCTGTTCAGTCGGAATGGCGGACATTTTGAGCTACACTTACTGTCGCTCGGGAAATGGGACTTCAAACGCGACGGCTTTTTTATTTAAATCCTCAGTTTGCTGTTAAAATCTTTGAAAAATCTGCAATATGAACTGTAAACACTCGGGAAGAAATGAATTTATCTGATTAACAGGAATATATCGCCGCTTTTTAACTAAAGCTGGTAAGTTAACACAATGTTTATATACGAGGTGCGAAACTTTATTTGCGGAAATTACCTCAGCGTTTCACTTGGGTAATGACGCAGGCCAAGAATTTGGACCTTAACACGTCTGAGCACGTCTAGCCATGTCTCCTTCGCAGACGAGATGCATATTTCGTTGCCGTTCAGCTGATGAAATTGTTTGCGTTCATGTTATGATTAATAACAGAGTCATCCCATAAACATACAAATTCATCGACGTGGACCCAAAGAACTTGTAAAAGTTTTGGGTTAACTGTAAAAAAAGAATGGCAGATGATTAATAACGAACATATGTTTAAGTGTTATTCCTCCATCAAACGTTGAGTTAAAGCTGTAATTGCTGACAACGGAAGTTATACTAAATAATGATTACGACTTTTATTATCCTCAAATAAAAAAAAAATTTACAATTTGAATTTTTTTTTATTGTCACAACTTATATTTTGTATGAAAAATAAAAAAATTGGCAGAAGACCAAAAGATGGATGTAAACAAAGATGGTTTCTGTCTTATAATTAAACTTAGCTAGCTACATCCACTGAACCAAACATACCACAATATTCCTTACATCAAAACAACGCATTCTTACTCAACCTTATTACTACATCTGCCATAATACCTGTGGGGGAAGCCATTTAACAAGAAAGTAAATAAAATGATGTTAGTAATAAAATCCACCATAATACCTCAGAATCTCCATGAAATCCTAACTGATCCCCATAGAACAACAATTTAAAAATGTAAACCCCAATATGTATTTACAATATGTGAAAAACTATTTAACATGAAATTAATAAAATAATGTTAATAACACCTTTGTTGTTTGTCTATATTTCTGAGATGAGGCATTATGTATTATATATATCTTAGTATGATATATATATATATATATATATATATATATATATATATATATATATATATATTAATCTCGATACATGTATGTATATGTGCGTGTATCTTATGTTCAATAATATCTATCAGTCTGTTTGTCTTCCACCGGAAGTTAATATCTATTTATCTCTCTATATAATAATTGTGATCTCTCTCTGTCTCTCTCCATTCAATTTCTATCTATCTATCTATCTATCTATCTATCTATCTATCTATCTATCTATCTATCACCTAGCCTGTTCATATCTAACTGAGACAGATAGAGAGATAGACAGCTTCTTCATATCTATCTATCTATCTATCTATCTATCTATCTATCTATCTATCTGTTTACTTCCATGTCCCAAACTCTTGTCTCATTACCAGCCGGCTCCCCATTTATAGCCCACCAATTTCCACATCTGTTAATTACTCCTAGTTAGAGGGGAAATTGGAAAATCCTCCACTTTTCGGCTCTGTCCGCCCGGAGGACGCCGAAATCGGCGTTCCGCTCGGGGATATTTCCTCTTCCAGGCAACTCTTTCCACATCGCCGCTCATTAACCCCTCCTCTCTCCGCCTTCGACGAGGTGCCGGGCGGTGTCGCCGATGCAAGCAGGCAGGGCAGTAGGGGACGTGTGAGCGTGCAATCTGCGACGGGAGAAGCAATTGCAGCGTGTTCACGTTGCTAGCTGAATTGATCATGACGATGGCGATAATGATGATAATGATGATTGATGACGCCGATGCTGAACTCCGTTGGGTGGGGCTAGAGTGTGTGAAGGTGTGCATCAAGGAGAAAAACGCTCCTTGTTGTTATGTCCATAACGAGGGTGGAGGGAGTGATATGTTCTGGGTGGGGCTTTATTAGATCATTGTGATGAAGTTATTCCTAGAGAAAGACAATGAATTGTGCACGATTTAGACCGTTATATAAATGATAATAATTAATAATATTGGTTTTCGTATTTTTTTCTTCTTTAACGTGCCACCCCCGCTTCAGAACGTGAGCGATAACAGCCCTCCACAACTTCCTATACTTTGTGGATCCTAGTAACGTATTTCTTTTTACTATCCCTCGCTCACCCCGTTTCGATATCTACTAACACAGTCAGGTTGGTGGCGTGCTGACTACTATTGCCCACTTTTTGTTTTTGATATGCCTTATGAGCTTCACATTCTCCAAACCCTCTTTCCTCATTATGTGTCAAAGAAATGTCAGCTGACTCTTTCTGATTGTCGCCCTGGGTTCGACGATGAACTACATTCGGCAGCAAGGCCTCTGATCGGGAGAATTTTGGGGAGCGTGGAACGCCCTCTTAATTGCTGGTGTTCCCAGTTGCACATTGACCCAGAGTGGTAGCACCTGTTAGGGTCCCAGCTATGGGCAAATAGCGAACCCCGCGAAAATGAAGTCAAAACATGAATGTATAAAACTACATTAGAAAAAATTACCAGCAATACATCTTCATAGTAAAGGATAAAAAATAAGTTTAGAAATTACCAGCAATACGTTAATGGGTGGGGGAATTTACCAAAACTGACAAGAAAATAAAATATCGGCATTAAATTACCCAAAAGGTGTTGATATTCCGGCGAATAAACAAACGAAACCAAACTTTACTGATTTTAAGTATGGATGTCTTTAAGACCACTTACCTTAAGTCTCGCTTGAGATTAGCAGCATCCATCCGTCTTCTCTTCACCTTTGAGGAAATTGTCCAGCATTCGCTGCCATATAGGATAATTCATACTAAGTAGCATTTCAGAACTCTTTTCTTTGTCTCCAACGAAAGATGCCTTTCGACAACTAAGCCAAATATTAAGAAACAGGAACATTTCATTCGAAACAAAGAGAGAGTCCTAAACTAAATAATTTCCTCACATAAAAAAGAGTACTTGAGAAAAGAGAAATGGGTTTCCTTAGGAAGATGCTAAAAATACAATATGGGAGTTTTTTTCTTTTTTTTTTATCCTGTGGCCCGGAGGGTCGTCGGGGTACCATGTGTACTGTAGCCACAGTAGAAGTGTTGTTTCTTGGGCAAGATAGCCTGATGGAACCCAACCTTCTCCAGGACTGTTTTGGATTTGTCCTTCTCCTAGACCAGTTGCCATCCAAGGCTAAAGAACCCAGTTTGCCCTGCTATTTTCCCATAACAGGGGGAAGAGGAGGAGGAGTCATAACTTTCCTTTAAACATGCTAAGAATAAAATATGGGACTTTTTTTTAAAATCCCGTCACCCGTAGTGTCGTAAAGGCACCATATGTACTGCATCCACAGTAAAAGTTGTGTTTCTTGGGTAAGGTAGCCTGACGGAGACAAATCCTCAGCAGGACGGTTTTGAATTCTCAGTTTGTCCTTCTCCTAGAACTGCTGCCATCCAAGTTTATAGAACCCTATTTTCCTATAGCTGTGGGGAAAAGAAGAGAATTCATACCTTTCACAAGGGTATTAGCACGGAATGGATCCGACTGGAATTCGAACTCGGCACTCCGATTCTTCAACCCGAGCCGCTATCCATTACTCCACCCTGCCTATGCGTAATAGGGACGTTTTATATAAAAAAAGAACCAGAACGGCCCTTGTATTTAGAATCAGAGAGAATAAAATTGAAATTTCAGAACACACAATGAGGAAAGTCGGTTTGGTGAATATGATACTCATAGTGTACATATTGAAAGCAAAAGGTCAGAGGGGAAATGGTGAGTAATCTAGCTAGCAAGTTTGTACAGGATAAGGACTTGGAGAAAACGAGCATTGCGAAGAGCTACAGAGTATAGGACGTTGTGGAGAGCCTTGATCATTTTACTGACATTTTTTAGGAATAAGATGGTTAATTATATCACGCGCTGGTTTACTTCAAATAATTAACAAGATAATTTAAAAGGAAAAAAAGTATAGTTACTGCTATTTTATTAAAAATAACTTCATTTTTATTGTATGCAAGTAAAAACATCTCTTTCCCACCACTTTATTTTTCCTCTAATCCTGTTGAGAATCAAACATTTAATTTTTTAAATAATTTCACCCTAAGGAAGGCCACATAGCCCCTAAGACGCAGGAGGTTGGGTTACTGAGTGTGAAAGACTAAAAGAAAAAAACATTATTAAGCAGCGAGTAAAATAAAAGAACAGAATTTAAGATCGTCCTGGATATAGTGATTTTCTAAGCATAGCTTAGATGTGGCACAAGGCCAAAATTAGGGGGCACTCAGTGAAGATCGAAGTCACTACTCAGTCGTAATTTTTCTAGCGAGACAAGCTTGATAAACATTACACCATGTCGAGGTATCCAATGGTTTTTCTAAGTGTAGCTTAGGTTTGGCACAAGGCCGAATTTCGGGCCACCCAGTGAAGATCGAACTCACTACTCAGTCGTAATTATTATAGCGAGACTAGCTTGCTAACCAGTACACTGCCACAAGATCGTCTTACATTCAGCAGCACGGCCTGTCACCCGGAGGTTTTGATGAGCGTGGAACCACCTCTGAATTGCTGTTGTTTGAATGACCCCCTTCCAATGACCGGCGTGGTAGCACCTGTTAGGAATAGTGAACCGCCAAACATGGGTCAGAACAATATAAAAGTAAAAAAATAGATTTTTAATAGTAAAAATACCAGCAATACTTTTTTGAAAAAATATATTACCAGCAATATATTTTTGAAAAAAAATTACCAGCAAGTAAATATTTGCAAACTGATTTCTCAAAAAAATAACAAAAAAACGTCTTTATTAAAAAATTAAGGTGTTGATATAAACCTAATCTGCAAACCAAACTGATTTCTTACACAGTATACATATTCTATACATACGAACCTATCCAAAATATCTTGTCAACTTTAAATAACCCATTGAGGTGTTGATATGCCGTAAAACAAAATAAGACTAACCTGATCTACAAACTGATCTCTTACAAAGAATACATATTTTATTCATACGAACCTATCCTAAAAAATCTTGTCCACATTAAATAACCCATTGAGGTGTTGATATGCCGTAAAACAAAATAAACCAAACCTGATCTACAAACTGATTTCTTACAAAGAATACATATTCTATTCATACGAACCTATCCTAAAAATCTTGTCGGCATTAAATAACCCATTGAGGTGTTGATATGCCGTGAAACAAAATAAACCAAACCAAACTATAATTTAAGAGGATAAAAGATAATGGCATGGCATTTAAATTATTGAAGATTAAGCTTGACTAGAAAGCAAGAAGACGGAAGAGAGTCTCACAAGCAAGAAGTGTGAGAAAAAAACCTGATAACATTGAACGTAGGATTATTTCTATCCAATTCGACTGTAAAATAATGAAATCTTTCCGCCAATCTAGTATCGCATTGATAGAATCCAAGTACCATGGATATCACATGCCATATCCTTTCTAATGCACCCTGTGGTAAAGATTGATTGATTTATTTTTTACAGCTTATCAACCCTTTGTGGTTCATTTAAAACCGAAACATATTTCGGATTTATGAAGTTGCTTACAGACCACGGTGTTTGCAACCGGTCCCCTATCTAACTACTGACCAGCTCAACATTGCTTAACTTTCATGACCGTCCTGGGTATGACGATAAACTACACCCGCTTCCTGGGTAAGACGATAAACTAAGTCCAACAGCAAGGCCGCTGATCAGAAGGTTTTGAGGAGCGTGAGACCACCTCTTAGTTGCTGATGCTCGTAGGGCTACCCTGACCCGGGGTGGTAGCACCTGTTGGGGTCCCAGCTATGGGTAAATAGTTAACCCCCAAACTGGAGTCAAGACACTATGAAAGTGTAAATTAGGTTTTAATGCCATAAATACTTTGTAAAAATTTATTACCAGCAATAAAGTTTTGAAAAAAAATATTACTAGCTATACATTTTTGAAAAAGTAAAAATTATCAGTTTCACATTTTGGGAAAAAAAATTAAGAGCTATACATTAAAAAAAATGCCAGCAATAAATTTTTGTAAAAAAAATCATTACCAGCAAGAAAAATCTTGTTGGCATTAAATAACCCATTGAGATGTTGATATGCCGTAAAATAAACCAAATCAAACAACTAAAGGATCGAATCAGTTTCTTGATGTAAAGATGAACATCCTTAAGAAAAAAATGACTTAAAACCAAAAAATAATATTATGTTAAGTTATAAAAATATTATCAGCAATAAAAACCTGGTCGGCATTAAATAATCCATTGAGGTGTTGATATGCCGTAAAACAAACCAAACCAAACAACTAAAGGATCGAATCAGTTTCTTGATGTAAAGATGAACATCCTTAAGAAAGGCGCCGTACTTGAGTTAAAACAAAAAAATAATATTATGTTAAATTATAAAAAATATTACCAGCCATAAAAATCTTGTCGGCATTAAATAACCCATTGAGGTGTTGATATGCCGTAAAACAAACCAAACCAAACGACTAAAGGATCGAATCAGTTACTTGATGTAAAGATGAACATCCTTAAGAAAGGCGCCGTACTTGACTTAAAACCAAAAATAATATTATGATAAATTATAAAAATATTACCAGCAATAAAAATCTTGTCGGCATTAAATAACCCATTGAAATGTTGAACCAAACCATCATTTTAACTTGATTTGACTGTGTCGCCTGCAGATAAAGACAAGAATAAATAAG